ACGCGACGTCCGGTCGGGTGTTTACCGCCGCATACATGAGGCTGCCCACCAACGAGTGAAATCGGCGCCTCTCCTCTTCACCAACGCTCTCCTCCTCTGGTCCCTTCACACACTTGAACCCAGAGGGAAAGGGTGTAGCCACATGGCCTTCATTCTGCCCAAAGTTGGCAGCCAATGCCTCCAGGTACTTTCGTTGATGCACCCGCATGCACCGCTTCTCCACATCTCGTTCGATGTGGAGCCCAAGGTAGAAGCTCACGTCACCAAGGGCCTTGCACTTGAACTTGTCTTGAAGCTTCAGCATCACCTCCTTCACAAGGTCAGAAGAGGGTGAGAAAATGAGGATGTCATCCACATAAACCACCATGAAACTCCTCTGCTCCCCCTCGCCAAGCATGAACAAGGAGTGATCGGCCGTTGAGGGAGTGAAGCCGATCCCCTCCAACACTTCGCGCAGCTTCATGTACCATTGCCTAGGGGCCTGCTTCAGCCCATAGAGGGCCTTCTTCAGCTTCCACACTCTGCCACTACCATCATCAAACCCCTCTGGCTGCGCCATAAAAATCTCCTCCTCAAGGATGCCGTTAAGGAATGCCGTTACGATGTCCATTTGCTTTACTACCCATCCTTTGATGGCGGCTCCCGCGAATAGGGTTCGCAGCGTCGTCGGCTTCACCACAGGGGCAAACAGCTCCTTGAAGTCCACCTTCTCCTTCTGCTGGTACCCCTTGGCTACAAGCCTAGACTTGTAGCGCTCGATCTTGCCGTCGGCATCGGACTTGATTTTGAAGAGCCACTTGGACGTTATCGCTGTACGCCCCTCTGGTAGCTCCACCAATTCAAACGTGTCATTCTCCTCGATGCTCTTCAGCTCACTCTCCATGGCCTTCTTCCACTCCTCAGCATCACTACTCTCCAAAGCCTCCTTGAGAGTTGCTGGTTCTCCCGGCATCTCCACCGGAGAGAAGAACGCGAAGGCACACTCCTCGTAGTCACTCTCCTCGTCGTCTCCGACCATCATTGCCGCTCCGGCCAGGGCTGTCTTGCCCTGCTTTCCCGGCGCATCATAGGTCAGCCTATTAGGGGGTTGAACTCTCCTCTTCCCCCTTCCTTCCTCCTCAGCTGCAGGGACTCGAAGGCCTTGGCGTTGCTGCGGTGTGGCTCGAATCCGTGGAGCACTCGTAGTACGGGAAGGGAGTGACGGTGCACGCTCGCTCACTTGCTGCACCTCCTCCTCTTCTTCCTCTGCATCATTGGCCTCCTCTCCCCCATTCACAAGGGAGGATTGCCTTGTGGTTGTGCTGCCGCTGCTCAGCTCCAAAGGCAGCTCCACATGCTCCAAACCGGAACTCTTCACCTCCCCAAACCGCACGCCTATCTTCGCCTCATTCTCCGCCTTCCAATCCTTGTACATGAAGTTCTCCATGAACTTGCAGTCCCTGCTCACCAAGAACTTCTTGGTGAATGGGTCCCAAAGAAGCCATCCCTTGCTGTTTTGAGCCATGCCCAAGTGCACGGCCCACACCGCCTTGGCACCAAGCTTGTTGTGCCGAAGATGCTTAGGCACGAGCGCCATGCACATGCACCCGAACACCCGAAGCATATCCACCTTTGGCTTCCTTCCTAGCCACTCCACATAGGGCACCCATTTGTCTGCTCCCACATGAGTCAAGGCTCTGTTCTTGGCCACACACGCGCTCCGCACCGCATCAGGCCAGAAATAGTCGGGTAGCCCGGCTTCAATGAGCAACCCGCGTGCCGCCTCCGTGATTGTGCGGTTCGCTCGCTCGGCGATGCCGTTCATTGCAGGGGAGTATGGCATGGTGAGGGAGTGCCGAATACCATTCTTCTTCAGCCACAACCCAAACTCCTTGCTCAGGAACTCTCCCCCTCGATCGGTGCGGATTGACTTGACTAGACGGTCTTGTTGCCGCTCCACCATCGGGAACCAATCCGTCTTCAACGTTTCAGCCACGTCGCTCTTCTTGGCCAGCACGTACACCCAAGTCATGCGGGTGTAGACGTCGACAATGGTGAGAAAATACTCAGCTCCAGCAGCTCCAAGCTTCAGGGGGCCCACCACGTCCATCACCACCTCATCAAGCGGTGCCTTTGCCGTTGCCTCCGAACTAGGGAACGGAAACCGGGTGAACTTGGCTTGAATGCACGTCGGGCAGCCAAGCACCTCATCGGGCTCCCCCTTCACACGTATGCCAGCAACCATCTCATTCTTCACTAGCTGCTGCAAGATAGGCAGGGCCGCATGCCCCATGCGCCGATGCAAGGTGAGCCAATCACACTCCCCCGTAGCCGAAGTTGGATTGGAGAATGCCGCGCTCGCAATAGCGCCCCACATACTCTCTCCGTAGTCCTCCTCCGCTGCTGCCTCTGGGTTCTCCTCACCCTTTTGCTGCTCCTTGGTTGCTGCACCACTCTCCTTAGGTTCACTGAACTTGCTGGTCCCTCCAGGTTTGCTCTTCTTGAGCTCATTCTCCTTAGCGCGACCGTTCGCGCCATCGTCGCTACCGACCGCTCCATCCTTGGTGCTGATGCTTGCTGCCACTTGCCTCTCCTTAGGCATAGGGACCACTGGGATCTGCCACATCTCGTTGTAGACATCCCTGTCCTCATGAAGGTCCCAAAGAATTCGATCGCCAAGCCTTGCGGTGTAGGTCTTGGCTCCCTTCGAGTTCGTGTCCATGCCGGCCTTTGCCAACCGCCGCACGGAAATCAGGTTTGCAGCGAGGCTGGGCACCCAAAGCACGTTCTTGAGGCCCACCATCTTCCCATCAGCACCCTTGAACATGGCCTTGCCCATGCCTTTCACCTCTGCTCGCTGCCCCAAAGCCGATGTGACATGCTTCACTGGTGACGGCTCGAGTTCGGTGAGCAAGTCCGGGCGAGGTGTCATGCTATAGGTAGCGCCACTATCAATCACCCAATAGTCCAGGGGGTGTAGGGTCACCTTCCCCACAGCTGCTGGCTCCTCAAAGCCTTCATCCTTCTCTGGACCAGCCGGTACTTGCGTCGACACGAAGTAGAATAGACCCGGGTATCGATCGTCGCTCGGGTCCTTGTCGCTGTCTCCGCTCTTCATGTTTGCAGCTCCGCCACCGCGACCGCCACGGCCTCCACGGCCTCGTCCTCTCCCTCCTCCTGCTCCTCTACCCTCTTGGCCTTGAGCAGGGGTCCAACCATCAGGGAGTTTGTAGCAGTCGCGCCACATGTGTCCGCTCTTGTGGCAATAGTGACACTCGCCGTCGAATCGGCCGCGACCGCGTCCGTAGCTCTTGTCGTCGCTGCCGTAACCGCCACTCCTGCGGCCTCCGCCGAAGTTGCTGCCACCAAACCTTCCTCCCCCTCGTCCTCTGCCTCTTCCTCGACCATATCCACGGCCGATGCTCGCTGCCCCAGCGCCATCCGCACTCGCCAACTCACGGCGGCGGAAATCCTCTTGAAGGATAGCTCGCTTCACGTCTTCAAGCGAGAGGCGGGGCAAGTCGCGATTAAGGTTGATGATGAGCGAGGACCATGACTCTGGGAGTAAGGCCAGCAACTTGGTCTTCTTTTGGAGCTCACTGTAGTTCAAATCAGCTCCCTCAAGCCGCGTCAACAAGTCGAAGAATTTCTGCACCCCTTCTTCAACCGCTTCGTCTTCTTCAATTCGTAGTGCCGCCATTTGCCGTTCCAACACCACCGCTACCGCCGCTGTTGCAGGAGCATGTACACCCTTGAGAGCAGCCCATGCCTTTGGTCCTTTCTCTGGTTCACGCTGGAATGGCTTGATGTGACGGATCTGACTGCTCCCCAACGCTTGCCCAAGTAAGAGATAGCCTTGTGCGCTCTTCCGCACCCACGGGCTCTTCTCCGGGTCGTTCTCGGGGCGCTTCTCCGTTCCTTCCATCACCTCCAGCAGGTCATAGTGGTCAAAGATGTTCTCCATCTTGAAGGGCCATTCAGCAAAGTTGTCACCGTTGAACTTGTCAAGCCCAAACACCCTAGGCTCATCCCTAGGTGGGCCAAGACTTGGTTGCATGGGCGCCATGGCTGAATCACGGGGTTGGCCTTGAGCTTGAGCTTCTCCACTGCCACCAGCACCTCTGCCACCCCTTTCCTCAGGTCCAGACATTGTCGAAACTGCTCCAAGGTGCTCTGATACCACTTGTTATAGTCACAATAGGCTTGAATGTGCCTAAAACGAGAGATAGAGAGCACAGACGGATTTCTGCACAGCGGCTTCAAACGTTGATAGCGTTCTGCTCACAGCTGCAAATGACTTGATTCAAATTGGATCTGGAGCGTCTTCACGTCGTCTACAATTAGCAATTTAGATTGCACGATTTGATAAAGAATTGACGACACAGCGTCGGTTTGAACGAACGGTACTATGGCAGCCACTATAGTCTTAGAACACAAGATAGGAAGAGTTACGAGTTGGGAATGACTCCCAGCTCCTACAAACCCCAAGAGCCGAGGTACAGTGATGTGGAACAGTGCCACACTGTCCCCAACCACGAAGGGTCTCGAAACTACCCTTCACTAGGGCCTACACCAAGTGAAATGTTACACTACACAAAGTAATGTAACTATCTTCAATATCTTGAGGTGTACCCTTTTGGCAAGCTTCGAAATCACTTGAGGCTTGACACCAAGGCTCGGGCTCTTCATCACAAACTCATCCTTGAGTTCTTGATGGGTCTGCTGCACACACCTGCGACACGCCGAACGTTCGACACAGGACAAAATAGAAACCGCGCACGACAAAATAGAAACCGCGCGCGAGACACAAACGACCGCATAACACGCGTCTAGCGATAACTCGCTATTGACTCGACACATACACTCGACATCATGACTCAACATTCACACACAATTATAAGCATGAAATATATATTATCCCATGCCCTCATACCATTCCATACACACACACATTCACGCACACGGACAACAAGCCGAGTGCAAACCGTAGGGTTGCACCAACAGTAACAGCAGCTCGAGCGATGCTGATGGATGGAGTATCTGACGTGGCCCACGCCGCTGCCGCCGCTCTCACTCCCTCCCTCAATGCGAGCAGCAGCAACCCATGGCTTCTCAGTCCCAGCCACCTCGCGTCTCCTCCCCGCTCCGACTCTCTCGCCCTGCTCTTCTCACCATCTCTCTCTTTCGACGAACCCACGTCCCTCTCCTCGCCGTTCCCCCCGTCCGTCCTCGCATCCCCGTTGCTGTCCTTGCCTCGCGCCTCCCCATCCGGGTCGCTGCCCCTCGTAGCCCACGTCACAGTGCTGCTCGCCTTCCTCCTCTTCCTCCTCAGTCTCGCCTTTCTCCTCCTACTCTGCTCCCGCCGACTCAAACGCCTCTCCCTCTCCCTCCTGCACCGCACCGCCTCACTCCTCCTCTCTCACTCCCAATCCATCGTCTACTTCTTCCTGCTCCTGCTGCTCCTCCAAGTCCTCGTTATAGCACCATTCGCTGCAGTCATGAGGAAGGTAATAATCGTGTGCACAGTGCCATCCGGGGAGGGCGAGGCTCCTCGCATGTGTGAAGCGTGGCTGCATCTTTTCGCCTCGCAGCTCGCCAGCCCGCCGCTGCTGCTGCTCTCCGTGCTCCCGGGCCTGTGGGCCTTCTTGGTCTTGTCCATGCTCGTCTCCCTGCTCGTCGCTGCACTCATGGGCCACGTCGTGAGCGCAGAGGAGGGGGACCAGAGACACGGCATCCAGCGTGGAGCGCACACCGTGGAAGGTTCTCTTGAAAATGGTGCTGCTGCTGCCAACCCTGCAACCACCCGTCGCCACCTGTCTCTGCTGGCCGAGGCACTCAGGTCTGTCTGTGTGCTGTGCATGCTTGCTTCTCGACCTCCCCGTTTTCCGCATAACCTCTCGTACCCGGCCTCTATCCCGGTACTGAAGAAGCATCGTCCCTTCCTTCATTGAATGCTCCCTCCGCCCACCAACCCCCGTGACCCCCTCACCCTGCACTCTCGCCCCAGGCTCGTCCTCACTCGCTCCCTGGGGACCGCAGCAGCGGTGGCGCTGCTGTTCCTCGTATTGTACATACTCTGTATCGCACTCAACACCTGGCTGGCTGTGTACGTGTTTGCCTCGTTGGAGGTGCCCGGGCTGGTGACGGCCACTGCTGCTGTGCTCGTCACCGTGCTGCAAGTGGTGCTGCTGCACCTGCTTACCTGGTGAGCTCACTCACTTGTTCTTAGGCCGTGCCTCCTCTCCCCCACCCACCCCTGTCATTCTCGCTGTCCCCTAAAAAAGCCATGCACTGCCACCCACCCGCATGCACGCATGCATCCGCGCTCTCATGAGTTCTCTCACATGGGGCATGGGCAATGGATTCTCTCCGCATTGCGTGGCTCAATCATCCAAGTCCAGTCTGCCAGAGACAATCCCATCGCCTGTCAACATTCCATATCCGTGCCGCACTGCCGCTCTACCCGAACCCTCCCAGGTTCGTGGTGCCAGTGGCGGCTATCACGGGCAAGGGCGTGTGGGCTTCTCTTGCGACTTCGCTGCGCCTGCTGCCCGCACACCTGCTGCCGTCGCTCGCCGTCTTCGTCTGCGCTCGCCTCCTCCTTCTGGCCCTTGGCTCCATCGCCCGATTTCTGCTGCGCCTGCTGGTGCGTGCTCACAGGGACGGGGGTACAGGCATGGGTAGGGTGGTGAGGTGAGGGGGAGAGTGCGAGCTAAGAGGGCGAGGGGACGGAGCGAAGGGTGGGGTGGGTGGGAGTGGGTATGGGGAGGGAAGGGTGATTGTGGTGACAGTCTGGCATGTTTCGGTACGGCTGATCTGTGGGGTCTGCTAGTGTGTGACTTGCATGCTCTTGTGTAGGTTGCTGACTCTCTCATTTCGACCTGCTCGCATAATTCTTCCTCTACTTCTTTCCCACCTTATTTTCCCTCCCACCCATTTAGATCCGTATTCGGCTGATACACCCCCCCTCCCCCCCCACTCCTCCCACCCAACCTCTGCTTCTCACAACTTTGTTCCTGCTCCTCCTCTTCCCCATACCTCAGGCGTTAGTGCACACTCCGTCCCCATTGGCCGCCTCGCACGCATGGGTCGTTGCTGTCTCCTTCACGCACCTCTTCCTCTCCTCCATTCTCTCCACCGCGCTCATGACTCTCACTCTCTCCCTCCTCACCGCAATGCCTGCCCTCTACGTCTACTTTGCCCTGGGAGCGAGGTTGGATGCACGCACAGGGGTGGTGCTGGAGCCGCAGGGGCAAGAGGAAGAGGCGGAGGAAGGGGGAGTAAGAGTGCGTTGAAGGAGGGCTTTAGTTTAGTCCCATTCAGAAATATATTCCCCCCTTTTCGAATCATGTCACAATCATTTGGATTTGTATGATAATTTGGGCAGTAAAGGTTGCGTTGCGAGGTAGGAGGCTAGGATTTGTAGAGGCCCTGAACATGGGTTATAGCATATATTTTGCTGGCCTTTGACCGTAACATGGTGTTGTGGTGGACGCGAACTTGCGCTAGTGTTACGGGCAGGGCCTATTTTATCAGGGTATTTTACCCTTTTTGCCCTGACCATAGGCCGCTTTTTCCCAGTTACCCTTGCCAAATCAGCCTATGGAGTTTTTACCCTATCTTGAAAAGGCTAAGTTTATAAGTACACTGATAACGATTTCGGTTACCGTGCTGGTATCCGGAAGCACTATACATTACACTGATACCGAATCTCCTTGTGCGAGGATATCCGTGCGAAGCCGCAAAACTTGGCGATCTCCGCCGGGATTCGAACCTTCGACCGTCATATGAATAGCCTACGGTAATATATAACCAGACATATCTAAGAATCTACATGCAACGGAATGGTTGGGATTAGGGTTTGCAAGCATACAAATAGGAGTCCTACAAATGTTGTACCCTCTAGGGAGTGCCTCACTGCAGCCTATCATAACATTAACATTTGACACACCCCCATAGGCTAAGTGAGGGACACCAGGGCAAGCAAGGTGAAACAAACGGTCACAAGACCAGTCAAGGCAAGACAAGCTCAGGGTGGATCTCAAGGACACCACACAAATTCCGAGCACAAGCAAGCGGCCACAAGGCCAGTTCAAGAGTTCACTAGGATATAAATAGGAAAACACAACAAGCAGAGCAAGCAACAAGACTACAGCAACCGGGGGCCTACCTCAACAAGCCCCAACTGCACACAGAACTGTGAAAATGAGAACGAGAATGAATGAACTATGAATGAAGTGAGTACATATAGCAAACCCTAATTGGGTTGTACCCCTTATGGGATACCCCACTATAGCCTACACAACAGCATAAGCTATATATATGTTCTGACACACCCCCATAGGCAAAGTGGGGGAGAACAAGGGGTCACAAGACCAGTCACGCAAAGAACAGCAAGCTCAGGGTGGATCACAAAGTCACCACACAGTCCGAGCACAACGACAAGGCCACAAGGCCAGTTCACATGCAGGAGTGCACATATATATATAGAGCTAGACAAGCAAGAGCAGGTATATATATGTGACAGTACAAGCAAGGTCAAGAGGAGAGCAAGTGAGGCAAGACAGGTACAAGACCCAGCTGAGTGCAGAAGCGTTGATGGTCACAAGGCGGAAGTGCCTTGGTGAACACATCAGCAGTGTTGGCCTCAGAGGCCACGTACGCAAGTCGCAACTGACCACGCTGCTGCAGCTCACGAGCAAGAAAGTAACGGAGAGCAATGTGCTTCGTTCTGTGCTCCAAGCGCTGCTCTCGACACAAGGCCAGCATGGCCTTGTTGTCTACGTACAGCACTGGAGGAGAACGAGGCGGCTCTCCAAGGTCAGTCAGCAGGTAGGTGAGCCAGCGAAGCTCCTGTGCAGCCATGGCCCCGGCGTAGATCTCAGCCTCACAACTGGAGCCGAGAACAGAGGACGAGCGAGTAGCCCGCCACGAGACAGAGCCGGAACCAAGACTGAAGGTGTAACCCTGCGACGACCGCTGCGTAGCCTGGTCGTCAGCCCAAGAAGCGTCCGCGTGCCCAGTGAGCACCACTGGACTCCGCCCTCCAAGCACTAGCCCCATGCCCGACGTACTGCACAAGTAGCGCAACACCCTCTTCGCTGCAGCCATGTGCTCTGGTCGGTGTCTCCCAGGAGCAACATAGCGTGCAAGAATGCTAAGAGGGTATGCAAGGTCAGGTCGTGTGCAGGTCATCAGGTACATGAGGCAACCAACAAGCTCTGGGTACGGGCCACTCGACTCTACGGACTCATCCGAAGGCAGAGCTGAGAGCGAGTGGCGAGTAGGCAGAGGAGTGGCCTGAGGCGAGGAGTACGTGAAGCCGAAGCGCTGAAGGACCTGCTGCACCATGTGTGACTGAGTCAAGGTAATGGTGCGGCGTGCTCTGTCCCGAGTGATCTGCAAGCCAAGGTAGCTGCGCAGTTCACCCAGGTCTGTGCACGTGTGTCTCTTCTGCAGCTCGGACTTCACGTAGGCTAGTCCAGCAGTGTCAGCTGTGGCAAAGACCAAGTCGTCGACGTACACGAGGATGTAGAACGGCGGCAAAGAAGTGTCGGTGCGCAGAAACAACGACGGGTCAGCAGTAGAGGGAGCAAACCCAAGAGCCGCAAGCGTAGTCCTCAGTGTGTCGTGCCACTCACGCGGTGCCTGGCGGAGACCGTAGACTGGCCGTCGGAGGCTCCACTGGGTGCCAGGAGGGAAAGTCCCAGTGAAGCCAGGTGGACGGCGCAGCCAGATCTCCTCGTGCAGGCTACCCTGCAAGAAAGCAGTGCTGAAGTCAAGAGAGTGGAGCTCGTAGTCGCGCTGAGCGGCTATGTGCAGCAGCACCCGAAGAGTGGTCATCTTCGGGGTGGGAGAGAAGGTCTGAAAGTAGTCAACTCCCTGCCGCTGACTGAAGCCACGAGCGACGTACCGCGCCTTGAAGACAGGTGGAGAGCCCGGCGGCCGCTTCACCCTGAAGATCCACATGCCACTGACGATGTTCGCCCCAGGAGGGGGAACCGCGTCAACGTAGGTGCCTGTGGACTTCCAGGACGCCATCTCTGCATCCATAGCTGCCTGCCACTGAGAGGAGTAGGGACCCTCTACGGCCTCCGCGTAAGAGCGCGGAGTCGGGATGTCTAGTGCATCCGGGTCTCCCTCAGGGGCAAGTAGTACGGACGCGAGATGAGGTGAAGCAGCAGCCAGACACTGGAACTCCTCCTGCCTGTCCTCAAGGACGTCCGTGCCAAGAGCACACTCACCCCCGACGGACGGAGGACAGACAGACGCAGACTCAGCAACAAGACCGGCAGCGTAGTCTAGACGACAGCGAGCAGCAAAGTCGACGAGCTCAGCAACAAGAGCAGACGCAGCAGTGGACTCAAAAGAGGGGTTAGTGACGACAGTAGCAAGGAGACGTGTGACAGTAGGACTGGTAGCACGAAGAGAGTCGGACTCTGGGTCGGTAAGTGCAGGAAGAGAGGACTCAGGAGGAGAAGGCAAAGGGGCACGCAGAGGAGCAGTGGACGGACGCAAAGACATCCGGTGCGTGCCAGGGACAGGAGGAGGACGCTGACGCGAACCGCGACCACTAGCGCGAGCAGCACGAACAGGCGACGCAGGACGAGACGCAGGCTCACGACGCTCAGCAAGACCTCCAGTGGGACCAGTGTAAGGAGAGGGAGCAGGAAGTGGGGAGGCGGGCTCTAACTGGGACTGTGACTGAACAGGCGGTGGACACGCTGCAGGAGGAGAAAGACCAAGAACCTGCTGTAGGAGTGGAACGAAGTACGGCCGAGGCCGCGCGGCGACTCCAGACACAGCAGGGACAGCACCCTCAGCAGCAGCACCAGCGCCAACAGCACCTCCAGGGGCAGGACCTCCAGCAGCACCAGCAGCACCAACACCCGCAGCAGCTCCAGCTCCAGGTGGACCCGAAGGCCCAGCAGCTCCGGGACCAGCGGCACAAGTACCCTCAGCAGTCGAAGGAGCTCCGGCTCCAGCAGTACGTCTCCAGCGGCGAGCAAACCACTCGCGCAGCTCCTGTGGAGAGAGGGGCTCCCGCCGAGGCGAAGCACCCGGAGAACCGCCAGGTCCCGCTCCGCCAGACGCCACAAGGGGAGGTCCAGTGGCCGCAGGCTCCGCAGCTCCAGGCTCAGCAGCTCCAGACGCAGCACCCCCTGGCTCAGCACCCCCAGTCGCAGCACCCCCAGGCTCAGCACCCCCAGACTCCGCACCCCCAGGCTCAGCACCCCCAGTCGCAGCACCCCTAGGCTCAGCACCCCCAGACTCCGCACCCCCAGGCTCAGCACCCCCACGCGTAGCACCCCCAGAGTCAGCACCCCCAGGCTCAGCACCCGCAGCAGGACCAGAGTCACCAGCAACCTCGACCGGCTCGACTGCGTCTACCTGGGACACACCTGAAGGGGCAGGACCCTGAGGGGGAAGGGGGTCTACCGGGGGGGGACCTGGCACAAGGAAGTGCGGTGGCGGGGGGAGGGAAGGAGTGCGGTAGGGGAAGAGGCGGTAGAAGGGGACTGACTCGTCGAACGTGACGTCCTGGGAGGACAGAACACGACGAGAGGAGGGGTGGTAGAACTGCCACCCTGGGGCGTCAGGGGGGAAGCCGAGGAAGACACAGGGAGCAGCACGAGGGGACAGCTTGTCCGCAGACAAGTCGCGGACAAACGCCCGAGATCCCCAGACACGGAACGCAGACGCATCGCCGACCTTCCCCGTCCACAGCAGAGCTGGGGAGGTCTCCGGTCGGGAGACCCTGGGGTGAAGGTTGATCTGATGCGCCGCGTACCGAACCGCAAACGGCCACAGAAAATGGGGGGCAGCCGCATGCAACATGGACGTACGAGCGACGTCCATGACCATGCCAATGCGGCGCTCAGCAATCCCATTTTGCTGTGGAGAGTCCGGAAGCGTAAAGGTCTGGCGGATGCCTCGTGCACGACAGTAGGCTCGCAGAAGGCCAGAGGAGAACTCTCCACCTCGGTCAGAGTGCAGACGCAGAACAGGAAAGTCCGAGCCGAAGCTCCTCCTGAGCTGGAGACGAGCTGCGCGGATCCAGTCGATCAACACCTCAGTGACATCACCCTTGCTGCGCAAGGGGAAGACTGTGGTGTAACGCGAGTAGTCGTCAACCACCAGCAGGAAGTAGCGCTCGTGACCCTGCCCACGGACGCGGGCCGGGCCCCACACGTCCATGTGAAGCGTCTGCAGAGGAGCCTCTGTCGGGGGAAACTGGGAGGAGTGAGGGGCAGCCCGGAGCCGCCCCTCGACACAGGGGACACAGGAAGGTCCG